GCTCACCAAACTCAACCTATTATATTAATGCATACACTCCCTACTCCAGGGTTTCTGTAACACCATCCACCCTGTCTTTCTCTGCCGTTGGCGAGAAGAAATCGTTCACTGTGAAGGTAAGTGGTCCGCCGATTTCACAGCAGCCAATTGTATCTGGTACAGTCATTTTGACAGATGGGGTCCATGTGGTGAGAAGTCCATTTGTTATATACACAATCCTCCCTGGTGCTGCTTATCCCTCCAACTCCATACTCGAGAAAAGACCAAGCTTCAGAGGTTCCTCCTTGTATCACGGAAATGGGATCCTTGGACGCAACTAATTTCCAACCCTGCACTATCTTTAACTGATTTCTCCTTTTAACTTATATCAGAATTGCCATCCTGTAGTATCTCTGCAAGACTGAAATAAAAACGCAAAATAATATTCTCTGGTTGCATATGTCCTCTGCCCTGCTTTTTCATCACATTCGAAGAACAACCAAGGACACTTGACATATAACAATTTTAAAATATAAAAAAGGCTCTGCAGTCAATATATTTTGCTGCCTACCAAGTATATCATTAAGGCCTTCATGTAAAATTAAAACAAATAAATAAATAAAAAGCGGGTTGAAAAATTACACCGGTCACGGATCAACGGAATCGAAAGACTAATATATTGCTCATTAAATTTAAAAGCCATAAATACATCTTCAATAACTTACAAAAAAAATTCAACTTGGTACATCACTTCCAACTAGTTTATTGACTGATCAAGTTATTTCAAATACACCATTCCAATACAAACAAGGCAGACGTGCATGCCACCTGGGAGAAGGAGCTGTATTGTATAGTGGAGAGATCACATTAACCCACATGAACTGAATTCAATTGAGAGAAACATGGAAACCAAAAATTCAAACCTAAAAAAGTTTTTAAGCTTTGGCAGTCTTCTGATTTGGCTTGAACACATTCTTGATGAGAGATTCCTTGATGGATAAGAGTTCAGGGAATTCTTGCTTCAATTTAGTGGCATCGAGCTCATTGTTGCTCCTGGGAGCAACAATCACCTTTGCCTGCTCCTCAAGAGTAAAGTTCTTCCATGTGAAGCTGGGGTCAATGTATTCCTTATACATCTCCAAGATCTCATTGTGGCTGACCACTCCAGGGTTTGTGAAGTTATAGATTCCGGTGAGGTTTCTCTTCGCCATGTCAATCGAAATGGGAAGGAGTTCATCCAAGATCGTCATGGAGTTTGGAATGTCTACTACTTTCTCATATCGAGTGATCTTCGTGATGAAGTTACGCGGGTTGGATAAATCAGATGAAATCGGCATTCTAACACGCAAAGTACAGACATTCTCGAAATTGTTGAGCAGATCTTCCACCTTTCAAGTATCATCAAGTAGCCAAAATTAGTAATTGCCATCTTTCATGCATTCTTGCAAAGATCTAAGACAATATGAAATCAAAACGCCACCTCGCAGTGAATACCATACAAGTCATAAATAGAGATACAATGGTGTTATTTTTACTACAAATTTCACTATTTTGGCGTGTCACATGCACATTTCATAATTTTTTTCCACCCACCCAATGGTCCCAATCTGTGAACTATCATCAGGCTTATATAAATTGGGCATCAAATATTTAAGCTTTTGGCCAAAACAAACATCTATAACCCAAAATTGCACGACATTACAGATCCAACAACAGAATCTCCAGATCTAAAATACCCAAAGGAGATCTTACCAAATCAATAAAAATAAAGAAAAACTGGGCAAGGGCAAATGGGTAACTACGTAAACGTAAATTGGCAATGTAAAAGTAAGGTCAAATGAGCTCAACTCACCATGGCCTTGGTCTTGGAATAGAAAGATCCGATAAAGTTGGGCGTGTCCTCCTCCTTGAACCCGACGCCCGACCCGAGCTGATGACCCGCATCGTACTCGAAAATGCAACCCGTCGCGTAGTTAACGAGGATCAGCCCGCGCTCCCTGCAAACGTCAGCAAGGGTCAAGGTGCCTACCACGTTGGTGCGGATGGTCTCGACCTTGTGGGATTCGCACCAGTCGACGTTGGGGCGGCCGGTGACGCCGGCGGCGTTGAAGACGTGGGTGGGCTTGATGGCGGCGATGTCGGCCTCGAGCGAGGAGCGGCTCTCGAGGCGGCCGGAGCCGTACTCGTAGGCTATGGATTGGGCCTCGCAGAGCTTGCCGAGAAGGCCGCCTATCCAGCCCGTCCTGCCGTAGATCAGAAATTTGAGCGGCTTCTCGGCGCCGTTGGATGGAAAACCCATGGCGAGGGGAGAGAGAGAGAGAGAGAGAGAGAGAGAGAGGGAGAAGAAGAAGTGTTTGAGATTTGGATCTAAGAAGAAGAAGAATGAAAGGAAGAAATGGAAGAGTGTGTTTGTTGTTGTGAGGAGGAAGGAAGTGAAGGGCGTGTATTGTATATAGGAATTACAAGTGACGAGAGATGAGAGACGGAGTGGCCGAGTGCGAGTGTTTCGGGACAATGATGGTATCTTTAATCCTCTGCCTGAACAAAGGAGGTGGGTTAGGATGAGGGTGACTTCACACCCCATACCATGGACTTCACTCCTTTATTTTTCTTATTCATTTTCAATTTTGGGGATCGTGCGTGGCCGACTATCAGCCGTAAATATATGTACATTTTATTGTATGATTCGAAGAACGACTGTTAGCCATAGATATATGTACATTTTATTGTTATGATTCGAAGAATGAAATGAAAGAAGGAGAGTTGAACTTTTGTCGTGGATATAAAGCTACTAGAAGTGTTTTATTACTGAAAAGATCAGTTCCTATTTGAACAAATTTATTGCGAGTGGTAATTTTGGTAGTTACCTAATATTTTGTCTTTTAACCCTGAATTTAAGTTTTACTTATTTAGACATTTTAGTCAGGAGAGACATTTTAACCAAATTTTAGCTAAAATGACTAAAAAGCTATTATAGCAAATTACTTTTAAAAAAATATTTCTTCTAGCAATGTTCTTTATTTTGACTATCTGTAATATTTTATTATTTTTTAAAATTTAAATATTTGAGTAACTAAAATTAAAAGTTCATTAAAAGAAATTAAAAAAAAAAAGAGGTGAGAGAGGGTTGTGGGCCTAGGGAGAAAAAGGAAGAAATGGAGAACCATCAATTTCTCTCTTCTCCTCTATATAGAGAGCCACCAAACTCAAGTAGGAAGTTCTCCAAAATGGAGAGCCATATAGCAAGTCTGCTGAAGTTGCATTTTGCCCTCATTCAAGGCAAAATGCTAACGAAGAAGTATAGCAACTCTGCTGGACTGAAGATGCTCTTAGGATTGTCGTCTTACACTTGAGGCACATTGATGAAGTTAAATTATTACTTGGTCTTCATTAGTTGATGGATTGTTGTCCTTTCATTTTCACTAATTGAAAGAACACCTGTAAAATGCCAATCGGGTTATTGTTGGGTAAGTTTGAATTAGCAAGGGAAGTGACAATATTAATATGATTCCATAAAGTTCATAAAAGATTAAAAAAAAAGAAAAAAAAGAAAGAAGAAATTTACAATAATAAAGAGACAAATAGATCAAATTAAGACACTGAAATGACTCAGATTCCTATTTCCTAGTATTTGCATATCATAATTCCCCTAAATTAACTAAAGTGATATCCTTTTAGAGTGGTAATTGGACTTAAATTTTATAATTTAAGCATCAAGCATCATGGAGATTGTGTGCAAGCGTCACCTCTACATGTTCTAATTAATTAAAGTGTATTAATTCTTGCTTACTTTTCCTTTTTTTTTTTTTTTTTTTTTTCTGGCAATACTTTCACTTTCTTTTATTCTTATCCCTAGATCCAAGCCCTTCCAAAATTTCCATAGAACCTTAAAATGTAAGCTATAATATTGTCAATTTGGTATAATTCAAACTCACACGCATTTCTAAGTTTTCAAAAGTGATTGAGATAAAAAATAAATAAATAAATAAAAATTGCCCTTGTTAGTGAAACTAAATGAAATATTTAGATCCTCTTTGGTTTTGTTATTTTTCGTTCATTGTGGAATTTGAATGGGGAAAATTATACCAACTCCGCTTCCTACATGAATTATAGACTCTGATACTCTTTAGCACTGCAAAAATCATGATTTTGTTTGTTTTGCATGCGATCTTTCAAAAGGAGTGTATCAATATTTTGGATGCTAAAATACCTTTCAAAAGGATCATATGCGCACAAATTTTTTGTGAAAAAAAAAAAGAAGAAAAAAGAAAATTTAGACTATATCCCACATTGTAACAAATTTTTTCATGAAAATGGCAAATTGACACAATTCATTTTGCAAGCATTTGAATTGCAACAAAACCATAATTCTGGTGGCATTGGTCTAAAATTCCCATGACCAAACTATATAACCCAAATTAGTGGTGGTGGTTGTAGTTATATAAGATAATGGCAGGAATCAGGATGATGCTTGATGCAGCTGCAGAACACTGTTAATAAACCCGTATATGATAGTGAAGCGGGATACGAATCTCTATTGTCCAAAAGAACGGGTGGTTTGAGTAAGAACACACCTTTAGCTCAAGTGTTAATCGTGTGACAGTGAAAGAAAAGCTTTGTAGGACCCATTTTTCAATCTTTCACATTTACTCGTGATATACGGCTCTATTTTTCAATTTCTTGTCTCTCTTTCTAAATCACATTTGGAATCAAAGTGACGAATTCCTTCGATTTAGTGGTATTTCTTTTTCCAATGTTGAAAGTGATTCCAAGTTTGACCCCATCCCGAACACTCATAAAACAACTCACATTTTGCCATCAATCTTAGCTCATGTGGCAGGCTCCGCGGATGGATGAAAGAGATATCGTAGGATCGATTTCACTTGGGAAAAAAAGGAAAAAGGGAAAATTATACTTGGCCATGATTAAACAGCCATCAATTTTACCATGGTGTATTGGAAAGTTGGTAAACTTAACTGTAGTAGTAGATGCTAGTGATTGAGAAATAGAAATAGGAGAGGTTTTGAGCATATGCGCCTTCGTGCAGCATTGAACAAAACAAACAAAATTTATTCACAGCTCTTGTAGGTTCAAATCCTGCCTTTTGGTGTGTAAGAAAAAAAAAATTGTGTAAAATTGGATCAAGCCGTATGACCAGGAATTGAGGCAGAACCATACTGTACTGAAAGCCATTGTGAATATGTAGGTGTTGATGAATTGGATCAGATGGTGAGATTTTCTTGGATGGCTGTAAATGCCCCCAGTATGTTGCCACCAACATCTGGAAATGTTTCACAGCCAGGAAGCGCCTTCACCTTGCCTGTTTGATCAACTTCAACTGGATATTTCAGGAGGTGACCCTTCATTTCTGTAGTCTCATCGGCTACATATTGCCTCCAGTTCTGCTCACTCAAAGACCGTACCCGTCTCATGCATTCAATGCTCTCTGGTTGCTTGAAACATTCTTCAAGAGATCCTATGTGCTCTGCCCACAGTGACATTCTATATCCATATATCTGCAATCACACAAACATATCAAATTATTACATACTTTTTCTTGTCGCCTATCATTTCCATATGCATGATTCATGAATGATGACCTGTTCCTATGTTTTGGTTGAAAATGATTAAGAATGGCATGTAATTCTATCATGCTGCAGAAAATTCTCTCAGCCATCTTTCGACTTTCAGGAATCATTTACAAAATGTACTGGCAACCTCTAGCAATATGATTAATAATCTTTGCATTGGGAATTATCAATTGTGATACCTTGAAGCAAACTAAGAAAACTAAGCACCAAACATATTTTTACTTGAAGAAACAAGTATCAGAGACTTTTCAAGCACTGATAAAGAAGAAAGCAACCTTGCAGTTATTGCTGCTACTGAACACAAATTTAGGACTAAATTCAATGAAATCTGACTACTCCTTTTTTTTTTTTTTTGGCCAGAGAAATTTGGATATTCAGACAACCTAAGTTTTGGTCGAAAATTGTTAAGAATGGTATATCATTTTTCTCAAGCTTCCTTAAACTTTCAGGAATCATTTACAACACATAAATCCACAGGCAACCTCTAGAAATATGAATACAATAATCTTTAACTTGCCAGGCTTACCTGTCCATGTGGACTTGAGCGTTTGCTAGCCCAGGTATGCTGAGGCTGATATGCCCCCATTGCTATTTCAGTATCTCGGGTACCTTCCATGGATCGCTGATTGATATTTGCAGATCCCAAGATGACATACTCATCGTCCACTATCATTCCTTTGGAATGGACGTAGATCATAAAGCGTCGGTACTTCTGAGTGAGTGCCTGGATTACAGAAAACCAGAAGAAACAATTGAGGCGTATTGGAACACATAGCTTCTGGAAAAGGGAAAGCTACATATCAACTCAAGAGAAATGTCAGGGGAGATACTTGAGGAGTGTTTGCTTCTTTTTTGTTTGCCTTTGCAGCAGAGTTGTCTTCACCACTCGGGGTCTCACGATTCCCTAGGCAAAAGAAATTCAAGTAGTCTTGTGGACAATACTTATTGTCAAGTCCAACCTCTTTTAGAGCTTTGTAAATCATTTCATACATCATTTGCATTGTTTTATGCTGCAGTAATAGAAAAATAGCAGGTGAAAAAACATGCAACAATAAACTCACAAATAGTGCCACATTGTTAGTGAGTAATGGAAGTTTCATCTGAATAATGGTCAAAACAAATTGCCTTGAAAATAAAATTGGATAATTTGAAATAAATTTGGATTCCAGACCTACTTCATGAGGGCAAAAGAGAAAAACTTGATGCAAAAGAAGGGGGTCTGCATAAATGATGTTTGTTTATTACAGCCCAACAAGCTTCATATGATATGCTAGAACTCTAATTAGTCTCAAGCCAACAATTATTGCTTAGGACACCTATAAGTACTTTTAAAAAATAGTAATCAGATTACCTGCCAAAAGAGAATTCGTTGAATAGGAGTGCTTGTAGGGACACCTTCTGGCCACATGGGGATAACAATGTATACACAAAATCTCTCATTTGCTTTGATTTTATTTACGATTTTAAGAGCAATTTCCATTGGTATTAAATTGTTTGCCCCTGCAGAAAAATGCCTTATCACTGATGTCTCTATGACAAACAATAAATCACATGGAAAGAGAATATAAGTTTAGGATCCGATTTAACATATGCCATGTGTATTGCTTTATCATCCAAAATTTTATAATTTCCCCCAAATGTCTTGTTCAGAATTAAGGAGTTATTACATTATTTCCTCAACATAATTCCAATGCTACGTGCTTGCACTAAGTGGGAAGGGAAAAAGGGAACTGAAATGTTTAATGAACCATCTAAATTCATTTCATGGTTACCTTCTTCAAAGGTCAGAGTTCTCACCTAAATCATTGTATAAGTTCCAATTATATGATGACCCAAGGAAGTACTGGTTCTCTATGTAAATAAAATGTTGAGCTGCACGGATTGCCTTGACATATGCTGCATGTATACTCATGTCTATCAGCACATGCTTCCCACAGACCAGGTTCTGTTACAGAATGCAGACATATGGCGAACCATCAGAATTAAGTTTGTGAGATATTTTATGTTATTGCAAAGAGGTTAAAAGCCAAACATCTCACCATGCTTGCAGCATACTTTGAGTCCTTCGGAAATCCTTTCACGGAATTGGAATCAATTGAACGGAAAACCTTCAATTGTGAGCAAATGGTTAACTGTATTTTAAACTCATACCCAAAAAAAGAAAGAAAAAAAACCTAAGCTATAGATGGTTGACATCCAATATACCTGAACATCCCAAGCTTCTAGATCATCTCCACTCAGGCAAGGAACATCCGCTATCCCAATAATTTCAGGAATTCTCTCAATCCTGAGTAATGCATCATCATGCATTGTTTTCAGTTTCTGAAGACCGTGTGGTTTTGAAGCCTTCAACCAACGCTCCTCAAAATTGGTGAGGATGTCGTATGCTGCTGGACCATCAATTTTACTGTGCAAATCATGCCATGGCTGCCTTGGACAACCAATAGCACGCTCCTGTTGTGTACCAAAAAAAAAACTGCGGTTTAAAAGGTGAAGATGGGGAAAACTCTACATTATTACACTATTTGAAATTGATTCATCAAGGTGAACTTTTCATGAGAGCTCTACCACGGAACTGGTAAACCAGTAACAACAATGAATTGCATGCTCCTTATAGGATCACAAAAGTATGAGAAACTTTTGAAGAAAGAGTGAGCATGTAGTTCATTAATAACTATTGAGTATTCTCTTTCATGTTTCATAAGAAAAGTGCTTATAGACTTTCAATATTGCATTTTGGGTCCATCATCTAACGATGGACGCAGTCATCATTCAGCATCTCATACCATACAATACATGTTACATTTGGCATTTAAAACTGGAAACTGCTTTGATGCCTGTATGTTTTGCCAATCATAACATTTTCTAGCCACAATTATTACAGTAACAGAATCATAGAACTACACATGACCCTTGTCAAACTAGACAGCCTAAACAAGAAGAGTACACATTTCAGATGAACGGAAACACTATAACCAACAACAAAGTAGAAAATTAATACAATGGTTACCGAGAAAGTAGGGTTACGACAGTCATCTTTGTGCAGAGTCTTCATACTCCTAAAGATAGAATGCTCTGGAGTGTCATAGCGCCCCATGCATAAATCAAGACCTCCAACAAATGCAATGATCTTTCTTTTAGAATGGCCAGCATCAGCATCCACAAGCACTGTTTTCTGATGATGGGTATAGATTGTTCCAGCTTCCTGTAACCAAAGACAAAATTTGAAAGTTTCAAAGAAAGCACTAACTCAGAACATTATGCATGTAAATACAAACAAATAAACACTGACAAACAATTATACATCTGAAGAGTTTCTTTCTTCTAATAAGTATCTGAACAGCACATGACAACATAAATCAATCTCAGTTATGCCAAAAATATTTCCTTTTGGTTTTAACAAGGATGCCCTCAGAATTCCAGGACTTGTGAAAAAGAAAATTTCTTTGCACATGCTAGCCAGAAACAAATGATTTAGCAGCATAAGTAGTCAGTCATAGACCATTTGACATAAGCTCAGAGCTAGTCAGCCATACGAGATATCAGTTCTTGTTTCTGAAGTCAGTGATACTATCAACATGTCAAGAAATCTAAAAAAGAAACACTGAATTCTAGTCCTCAAAAAGATTGCAGGTGGAACTTCTATTCTGGATTCAATCAAGAGCATGAAGATTTTCTTTTGGTCATCTAAAACAATTTGAAGAAGGATAGTTGAAGCATTTCCGCTGCAGAACCAAATACAATTTGTTAGTATATGTGAATCAAATGCAATACTCCCACTAATGTGATTTCCAACATTAGGAATATCTAGTGAGACAAAAGTGATTGGTCCCATTGGGCCATTTGGACTTTCCATAACTCATTTCATCCTCTTCTTTTTCCCAATACCAGGTTCGTTTAATAGTGTATTTAATAGTGTAATTTGATAAGTAATTGAAACTTTTTAGCACCAAATGAGAAGAAGAAAAAAACAAGGACAATGCCTCCTTTCTCAACTTCCATCATAAATGCAGGGATTTTTTTTTTTCCAACCTGCTTTTTGACCCAGCTACCCTTTACAGCAGATCGAGGGCAAAGTAGCACTTGGACTGAAGAGTGCTTGAAGAAACGCCGAGTCTCCTCATCATAAGTTTGCATGACCCCTTCCTACACATTACATATTCAATGATATGAGGTGAAAGAAGACAGTTATTGACGGACTTGAGCAGGTAAAAGATACTGAAGTGACAAATAATAACAGAATTGGATAATGATGTACGACAAACTATTAGTTTTCTCAAGCATTTATTCAAGCTATACTTGGTGTCAACCAGATGAAGCGCATAGCCTTTGTGTCTTGTAGATGTGTGAGGAAGATAATGAGATGAAATTTTCACCAACTAGCTTGGTGCTTCATAAAGAATCGTATCTCAACTAAAATATTAAAATTTTAAGTGAAAGATTTTATCTAAGAACGGACACAAACTATGTTCTATTTTTGAGATTTCATGAATCTTAAGATGTTTGGTCACCTTTATGTCGTGTAGCGAAACTAGGAAGTAGAACTAAGAACAAGGCTCAGTAAAACGTCAAGTCAGTTTCAGCACCATATAGAAGAAAGGTTGCATTATTTCTCTGTTCTCCTAAAGCTATAAGTTGCAATCAATATTCTTGAGCCCTAAGACAGGAATATATCGGATTTGCAAAGAAGTTTTTGGAGACATTGGGCCAATTATAACTTGTTCAATAGAAGGGTAAAACTCATAAAGCATCCTCATATGCAAGAAAAGTAAAATGAGGTTATGTGAACCAAAATTATATTGTAGTGCAAAATAGCAGAATAATATATTTCTAATCTCCTGAGGCCTTACTGTTTTATATCCCAAAATGCTCCTTGAAGTTGGATCATCCCACACAAGAAGCAGCACCCTCACACCTTCCTGTGATTTGGTCTTAAGAAGATCCCCTAACATGTAATCTGTTGTCTCATCTTTATCCCGGACCAATCTAACCTTGTGGTACACTGACCACCCAGTAATGTATATCAAACGGCGGGCCTGACTTATTGCATCAAATATGTCTTGCCAACAATTCCCCTGCTCATACTGAACCCTGCCATCAAGCTCCAGATTGGGAAAGCAACCATCATGAACATGGGCATCTTGATAGAGAGTAACTCTACCACCTCTCCTAAGAGGAAAGTAAGTACCAGGGACCCCTTGATGATCAGGATCTGAGCCTACTCCCTGATTATAGAAGGTCAAATTTTCAATTGGGGTATATTGTATTGATAGAGTCAAAGTAGCTCCAGGCTTACATATTTTCCCGCTGGAATTAAGGATTGGAAAGGTTCCCTCAACTTTCATGCCAGAAACTAATCGTTCGACTGGGATTCCTACAGCACCTATGGTCTGGGAGCCCACAACATCACTGTCTTTCACAACAAAATGCACTTCTGAAGCATAATGCGCAACAGGAACATCAAAATGCTGCTCCCAAACTGGGTTTTCGCTATTACTGATCACAAAAGTCCTCCCAACTACAGCACCTGCTACTGATATTGTCACATATGGATCACTGGTTATTTTATCAGATGTTTTCCCTTCACTTTTGCTGCTAAGTCTGCTAGGCAATCTTAAAAACACGTCTCCGAGAGTCTTGTGAAGCATATCCATGTTAGGAAGGTTTTTGGCCTTCATGACCCAAATAGCTAAGTTACCATGTAAAAGAGACACCTTCAGAGAGCCGCTGGCCGCCTGAAATGGCAGAACTTGTTGACCCTGCCCATGTTCTGAGCCTCCAAATGATAACGATTCAGTATAAACAGGATAAGCCATACAAGAATACTTCTCAGTTGTCACCTCCAAAACAAAAAAAATTAGAACTAGATGAAATGACACAGAACCACTGACAGAACAATATCAAACAAACTCCACCAACTAAATTGCTACCCAAAAGCCAATAACAGGTTTCAAAATCATAAAAGGGTAACTACCTAATTCACAAAGACCCCCAAATTTCTTGTTGCTCCACACCAAAGAAAGAATTGGCACTTAAATGAATCTGGGTTGGCTTTATTCAAGGTAGTGGGAAGGAAAACTAGCCAAATGGGCTATATTCATCTGGTGGAAGAAATAGGCCAGAACTGAAATTTGGGGTTTAAGGGTAGGCAGAAATAATATGATGGGCTGCTCTGAATGAGTAAAAGAAGGTAGGCTTGAAAGTGCAATAAGGAAGAGAAAGAACAATAAAATATATATATATATATGGTAGTAGTTGAATGGATATGAAGAGGAAGAAGAAGAAGAAGAAGAAGAAGAAGAAGAAGAAGCAGACTTTCCCATTATTAAACTAAAAAATGTGGACCCAAATGTATAATCAACGCGAAATTCACAAATAGGAGGCAGTGATACAGCTGAAACAAAGCGTTGAAAAACAAAGAAGGATTGAGAAGACATCGGGTATTCTTCCTTGACATGCTTGGAAGGTTCCATCAGCTGGAGAAATTTTTTCAGATTGATTGTGAAGTTTATTTTTGTTTCCTTTTCTCGCTGCCGTTCTTCTCGTCAAACGAAAATCATCACTTGGTCGTCTCACAAAGCCGGCTAAAGGAACGCAGGCTAAAAGGCGAAGCTGTCGCTGGCTTTTAGGCGCGTGTTTTATAATTATCAGTTTTTTTAATGACATTTAGACCGTTATGTCCGTGGCTTTGTTTATTTATTGGATCCATCTTTAGTGTTCATAAGCTGTCACAAGTTGTTGGATTTAGGTACCAAAGACATTGGCTATAATTGTGGGCCCGATCTGATCCCAGAGTTTTTAACACCCTATGATTCTGTTGCCGATTCCCTTGCAACTTATTGGCTTTGTGTAGCATATCTTATGTTCGAATGACGATCGGATCAATGCTAACGCTCATATTGTTGCTCGTGTCTTTATAACTTATTGGCTTTGAGCTACAACATCGTTAAAATTAATACATTGATTACAAAATTTTAATCATAACTAAAATTTGCGACCGGAAGTGCAAGACTTCTTTTATCGTATTATTTCTCTAATAGAGGCGAGACTCATAGAGGCTAAAGCACTACGGGCCTACTATGGGAACTAGATGCAAGGCACTGAACCACCTCTTCCATGCAAGGCCTCCTACCACTCTCGCTCGCAGTACAACTCAGTCCAATTTTCAAAATCCGAACCGCTTCCTCCGAGTTAACTCGGTCTCCCATCCTCTCATCCACAACCCTCCCTATCTCTCCCTTCTCAAACATCTCCCTCGCAAACCCCAAAAGACCCTCCTCTTTCCTTCCCGCCATAGTTTCCAAAACCAATATCCCAAACCCGAACACATCACCCATGCTGCCCCGACCCGACCCGGGCACAAAGAAGTCCAACCCGTAATCTCCAAGGATAGGTCGGTAATTTACATCCAGGAAGACGCTGCTCGCCTTCAAATTTCCATGAGCGAGCTCCTTGGAATGGAGGAAGCTCAAACCCTCTGCTATGTCCTTGACGAGCTTGAGCCGCCACGTCCATGGCAGCGCTCCAATCCCGAACAGCCACCTGTCCAAGCTTCCGTTCGGGTAATGATCGTAGACGATCATGGCCTCTCTACCGTCGCAGCACCACCCGCGTATGTTGGGTAGACTCGGGTGATTCGCCCGAGTTATTTGATCGCCGAGTCGTTTCGTAACTCGGGCGGAACTCAAGAACTGAGTCGAGAATCGCTTCACTGCGACTTGACACCCATTCACAAGCGTCCCTCTGTACAAAATGGACGTGCTGCCTCCTCTACAGTCGGTGGCCAAGACTTGGGCTTTGTCAAAACGCCGCGTTGCGATGTAGAGCTCCGCAAATGTGAAACGGCGAGGACTGATTGGGAGCATTGGCCTCTGTTTTGTGTCGAAGAACAAAAGTGCATCCGAGGTGTTTGTTTTTATGCGGCTGAAGTAAAAACTGAGCAAAGCCACTGAGCTCAAGACTAGCAGAGCCACAAAGATCAAGAAACTGCTTGGTGGGTTTGTGTGGGGTGTGGTGGAGTACTTGGAGACTAGGTGCGCTACATTTCTGTGGCAAATTTTGGTGGATGGGACGTGAAGAGAAGCTTGTACTGTGGATGAAAAGTTCCATGAAAGTATATTGTGGATTGAATTTTGTGATGAATTTCCAGTGGAAGCAGAGAACCCTACGAACATGTACTCTTGAAGAAATGGAGAGAGGTTTAGAGGTGAAGACAATATGGGTTTTGAGGGAATTGGGTTACCGTCTAAACCCAAGTGGATGTTGATGTGTTTATGATTGCCATCATAGGTGATCCATGCTCTGTGGACTTTGCTATTATGGAGGGAAATATTAGTTTCTGACAAATTTGCGGTTTTGAATGAGACTGCCGCCCCAAGGTTGATGCCAATGTGATCGTCATTGGGGTCTCCAAATTGCGGATCGTGGTTAGTGTCAAACTCGACTGCAAACACCTTGTAATGGTTGCATGCATCGTTGAGGATTCCGAGCCAGGGGCCCGGTCGTCCTATGGTGAACTCGTCGGGGGAAATGACAAAGGCGAGGCCATTGCCCCCGCGAGTTGCCATGGAGTTAGTGGTGAATTGGAAGGAGAATGTGGTCTCGAAAGAAGCTGGGGTTAGTGTTAACGGGTCGAAGAGGCGTATAGGAGAGGAGTAAATGGCTCTGCCTACTTGGTATGTAGGCTGATCAGCTTGTGATGATGATGAATGGGGTATTTGAATCACACCCTTCTCTTCTGAGACTCTTGCATTGCCAAGGAATTTTAGTTGAGGAAAATTGGTTCCAAGGCTTGAAGTTGTGTGAAAATTTGGGAAGTGAAGGTGTTTGGTGACATTTGTGAAGGGCCCCTTTGGGTGATGTGTGAAGGAAAATCTATGTGCCTGAAGAAGTTGGGGTTGCTGTACAAGATGTACAATTGAGCCTAAAATTAATGGCCACCATAAGCATGGTGGAGAATCCATTTGATGAAGGGTGAATGTTGGGGAAGCTCAATTTGATGTTTGCCCTATTTATTGTGTAGGTGGGTGCCTTTTTTCTGGCTAAGAAAATGTTAAAAGTACTAAATTGCTACTGTAGATTTCAATGGTGGTCACAAAGCTTAATTCCATGCAACGTGTAGCATTTGCGTAGATAGAGCTACAAGCTCAATATTTCCCCTTCGCCTTTTGAACCATATCACTGTTTGATTGTGAAGCCTCCTATCGAAGATGTTTGAGAATCCAATTAAAATCAAGTGATCACCCTCAAAAGGCATCCACATACGTCTATGGCGGCTGACCTACTCTTTCTATGCCACCTTGAGACATGACATAAGGCCTTAAAACGTTTTAAAGGTAGGTACGTAGCACTCAGAACCTTAAAAAGAGATAAGAAAAAGTTTACATCCCAAATGGAATAGTACATACCATGCACCTTATGCTTGCTTTTGTTTTAAGAATTAATGTCTTTTGAATCCCCCAGCCACCGGAATGTTTGTGTGTAACCCCCCTCTCCTAATCGTTCGTTTGCACTAAAATAATAATAATAATAATGTAGTTCATGTTACGTATTTCGACTCTCCATATAATGTTAACATTGATACCATCTTCAATGAAATTTTGACATACATAACTAAATATATTGAACAGTCACTTATATGATGTGAGGCAATTTGATCCCGCACAAATTGCCAACAAATATTTGGTGAATAGGATTAGTTCCTTGGTCTTCAATTTTTATGGAAATAGTCATTCCAGATTTTCATAGAAGTATGCAATGCATAATACAATCTTCTCCATCATATAACACCATACATAATTCTCGATCATCTTCTAGCTAAGCTTTTGGTGCATATTGCTTCTTCATTTATTAAGTTTTGATGCTTAACTTTTGTGCAGAGTGCTTGTTATCTTGTACAAGATTAGTGGAGCACTAGTTGTCCTCTTTTTCGCATTTTAAATGAACTCTTATCTTGCAAGTTGCAACTTATAAAGAGAAGAAAATATAAAGATATCTTGATCTCTTTTGGTGATCTTACGGATCACAAAATATGAAGCAATTTTACTGGCTTTAAAATTGCAGTGAGTACATGCGTATGCGCATATATGTTGTATAAAAGAAGTGCTTCAAATGAAATTTACTTGCAGTGCTCAAATTTTGTTTTGTTGTAATAGCTTTTGAATTCTATACATCACACTTCCAAATTCCAACTGGCAGAATGTGAGTTCTGTAACTTTTTAGGTTTGAAGCATAAGTAGAGGAGAAATCTTGAACGGGTTAACGCACGCCCCTCTTCTCGCATTCTGGTCACGTGATCAATGAATGTGCGACGGCATACATTGTTTATAGAGCTACTGTCTATTTTATGAGAACACATTCATTAGTTTTTTATTTACTAGGCAATGCTGCCCTTTTTTCAGTTTGTGAACATCTTTCTGTATATGCAGTCAGATAATCTGGCAAGTTGTAGCTGACAACCCAATTCAAGGCTTGGTGTTGGGAGCCATGCTGCAAATAATTCAACAGAGCATTTATATTTGTGAAATTCAAAATGTTGTTAGAAATGTTGCAACAATTTTACAGAAATAGATCAACCAGTCTACATTTGTAAGTGGTAATGGGAAGCAACTCAGAAGTAAATGAAATATGATACATAAAGATCAATCAAGTACCATTACCCTATTGAAAACATGAATTTATACAACCCCACATGGTAAGCTATTAGTTGGCCAGTTGTTACTGTCTGTAGCTGAGTTTTGCAAACATCTAATATCCCTTCAATGCTTTTCAAAAGTATCGGGTAGATCCTATGTATACTCCGCCAAGGTCACAAAACAGCCATAAATCAGACATAAACGTGAGTTCATCATTTACTGTTTCTCCAGTTAACAAACAAGATCGATCAGTTCGTCTATCTTTTGCGCTTCGACTTTAAAGAGGTCACTGATTGAGAGTTGCTGTGCCAGTTGCGCTTCCTTTGATTGATGAACCAGTTGTTTATTTGCTTGAGCTGCAGGCCTGTTTCCTCCACAAGTTTTGCCTTGTCATCTTCCTGTATATATATTATATGCAGCTTTCATTGTTAATATCATCACAAATATCAATAAATTGTAGAAGCAGTAAACAGAGCTGGAGGTAGAGATCTTGTTACCACAGCAACTTATTTTCATATCTTTCCTATTTTGTCTCTAAAGTGCAACAAAATCATAAATGAATGGTGAAGTTGTTTGTTTACAGTTGGGTAGGGCCACTTTGAGTGTTGCTGCCACCAATTCTTCAACACTGTAG